GTACACTAACTTAACTTTTAAATTAATAAAGACCTAGCTTAATACTATATTACTAGTAGAATCTTGTTGTTAGGAAAGGAGTATCTAGATTTAGAGGTTAAGAACCTTTATTTTAGAAGGTAGTTTCCCCTTGCTTAGGCCTATGCACTTTGCTGCTTTTTCAGCATATTAAGCGAGCTAAGGCGGCAGGGGGTTTAGAAAAGGCCCCCCTTAACCTTAAGCCAAGCGCCAAGCGTCGTGCACCGTTGCCCATTGCCTATTGCCCGTCGCCTGTCCCCTGTCTCTCAAACGCAGCCTCTTAAACAGCCTAGAGCGGTTAGGAAAAGCTGTGAGTTCCTGCTATATATACCTGTTCCCATTCCTGCTGTTATGATGCACCCATCCTCTACAACTCGTCCTTGCAACGTACCGCCACCTAACAAACTAGAATACGCATTTAAGCATCATGCGCTGCTATAGAAGGCAACAAGATCTAGATTTGTCCCCTGCCTTAGGTGTTAGACTAGCTAAGAATTGTTTTAAGTTTGCTTTACACATAGAGTTAAGTAGCAACATAGAAACTAAGAAGGAAGATAAAGATTTTAAAAAAGATTTCTTACAGCAAAGGATAGCGTTTTATAAAAGCTAAAGAAGAGTAAAGTTAAAATAAAAAGACTAAGTAAATATACTTATTACTTATAAGTTTTAGAAATAAAAAAAGTCTATTTGTTTATAAAGTTTTACTTTATAACACTAATAAATGCTTCTAGGTTTTGTATAAAATTAGAGCACAATCTATATAACACGCTTTGCTAATGTAAAGTAGATAAATTTAAAACTTACCTTAAATAGTATGTAAAGAATTTACGTATTAAAAAGAAAAGTGTAATTAAAGCGTACTAGAGACAGATACTTTGTAGTTTTATAGACGTAGCAGGCTATAATATAAACAATAGTGCAGAGCTTAACATACAAGATGTATAGTCGCCTACGAAAAGTGATTGGCCACTTTAGCAAGAGGCCTAGGCCACTCTATAATGCTTTAATTTTAATTAATTGTAACTTAATTAGATTACTACCTTTTTAAATAGTTATAAAAGTAAATAAAACCTTGCGCAAAAAGCTATCTAAGTTTACTATTAATATAATATAGCAATTCCACCTTTACAGTGTAAGCGCTAGCAAAATTTTAAGTTATCTTAGCATTTCTAAGTTAATAGTTACATATAACATCTACTAGCTGCGCAAGCAGCCCTAGCCTATCTATATAAAAGCCCTGCGTATAGTCTAGCCTCTAAAGCTTAACAAACGCGCTAAAAGGCATTTAATTTACTAAGCAGTAAATAATCCCTTTGCTACACTCTAGACTATTATAACACTATCTAAAACCTACTACTGCATCTATGCTAGTACTGTAAAGGGATACTTTGTAAAACATAAGTACTACGCCTTCTGTCTATGTTATAAGCCTTAGCTCTTAGATGTACACAAAGAAAAATAACTCTACTTTACTTAAATTTATTAATATAATAAAAGCAGTAATGTAGCTTACGTAGCCTATTATAATAAAGCAACATTTAAAGTTAGCTTAGACACTAGACCTCTATATATACGTTAGCAGCATAAAAAAGCGTATAAGAGTTAGTACCTAAAGCCTACATTTAAGTCTAGAAGGACTATAGTCTCTATATTTAGTGTAATTTCTTTTAATTTTAAATTAGAGCTGTTTATTAACTAAAAAGGTAAGTAAAATAATACTAGCAAATACTGCTAGATTCTGCATAACATTAGCATTCTATTCTATAAGCAGCTTACAGAGAAACGCAGTATTAGCATATAGATGCAGGATAGAGCCTCTATTTATACTATAAAGGCTACCTAAAAGTATATAGACAACTATAGCATAATATAAATAGATTAGCTTTTATAAAGTCCTAATTTAAACCTAATTAAGAACCTCTAGTAGATTATAAAGCTCTACATCTTAAAGTAACAAGAATATATTACTACTTATAAGCAGATAGTAGATATCTTTAAAAAGGAATAAGCAAAGATTGCACTAGCTAATTATAGAAAGAGTATCCTAAGCTAGTTAAAGCGCATAGAGGAGGCTATCTAAAATAAAGGCAGGTTAACTTACTATTAATTAACTATAACACTAGAAGATAGGCCTTAACATAGGCTTCTTATAGAAACAAAGATCTTTTAATTTAGGTAGCAATTAGTTAAGTAAGCTCTTTCCTAAATAAGCTAACTATACCCCTGCAGAGCTTGGATCGTTGAGTGGCTAATAACTTTTAGTAGGCGACTGTACAATTAAACACCTTCTCTAATAAATAGGCTAACCTGTTTTAGTAGATCTTAACTTATCAAACTCTAACATATAAGTTAGATACATTAGAAAAGAAAAATGTTTGTAGTTACAAAGCTCTCTATACGCTAGCCACCTACACTACTTTAGCCTACTGCTGCCTAGCCATGCCACCTGCTGGAGCCTAGAGCTATTAGTAGCCTTAAGTTACATGATGGGTTCATCTAGTACTATATAAACCTGTAGTTGCTCTTCTTTAGCAATTAATCTAGTTCTTAATGCCTCTAGTGCTTCATATAGCTTCACAGAAAAGCATGCAATGTATAAGTAAGATTTATATGTTGTTCTTACCGCCTACTAGACAATAGATCTAAAACCTTGTTATAGTAGTTTTTAAGTACAGATAGACACTATACTGCTTCTTTACACAGCAACTTTTACATGTTCTTAGGCTCTTATTAAAATCTTAAGCGCAAAGAGCTTAAATAAAGCGCTTTTCTATAGACATATTAAAATTCTTAGAGTTTATAATAGGTTTAACTAAAATTAAACTACTACTATTACCTATTAAGTCTTATCTATTACAAACTCTAGAAGCAAAGGTAGATAATATGCAGCTATGCTAATTTAAGAATTGCCTAATTAGTACTAATAGATATAAAGGAAAAAGTTTATTTTTTACTTTAAAAGCATTTTAGCGTTTTATATTATCTCCTCTCTAGTAAACTATGTAATTATAGATAACATATTTTAATAGCATTATACTTCTCTAGAGAAGATTATTATACTAGAGATCTTAGCTATAGCTAATGTAGCTAATTCTTTACACGCTAAGCATAATATAGGCTATGCTAGCATAAACTAGCCTAGTATGTTTATGAAGTGTTATTTAGAGCTTAAAGTAAAGTTTAAATGTAAGTATAACTATAAAAAAGCTTTTTATAAGAATTTTAAAGTAATTTAAAATTAGTTTAGCCTTATAAAGAATATTAAAGCTAAGTATAGCATCTAAAATAATAACATATATAACTTTAATAAGATAGGCTTTATAATAGGCTAGATATTTACTAACTATACTTATGTCTAAAACTTTACTTTAAGCTTTAGATAACACTTTATAAACATACTAAGCTAGTTTATGCTAATATAGCCTAGACTATGCTAAGTGTGTAAAGAATTAGCAATATTAGCTATAATTACTAGCTAAGAGGAAAATCCTTATGCATCTAGCTTAAGTATATGCTTAATAATTACCTACTTTTTATTATTATTTAGCTTTTGTAGGTTAGCTATAAAATTAGGTTATAAAAGTTATTTAGTGTATTAGTTATTTATTATCTTTTAAAAAACTCTATACATAGCTATAGCATGTTACTTTAAAAGTGTTATGTTTTATTTAAAAGCCTAAAGTGTAAGCTATATCTAATGTTCTTTTAGCGCGTCTAAGTAGTAGTATTAGGAATGCATTAGTATAAAAAAAGTAGTTTAGTAGAGTCTTAGCAAAAGTAAGCAACTTAGGTGTGTAAGCAACTTGCCTGTAGTGTATGTTAGTAGTCTTTATGTTTTTACTTTAGCACACTTTTTATAACTTTCTAAACATACTTTTAATTATAAAAACATAAAAGTTTTAAACATAAAAGCTATAGTTAATAAAAGAGCTCTAAAATGTTATTTATAATAGCTAAATAATTGAATATAATAGTATGTATAGCTTAAATAAAATTAAACACTTCTTAAACTTAGAAGTTAAATAAATAAATAATATAATATTATTAATAAAGCTATTACTAGTACAAGTAAATTTTTTAATATAATGTAACAGCATAAACAGGATAATAGATCTAAATACAGTATAAATCTACTTAGAGGCAAATAAAAGTGTGTAAAGACTTAGTAACCTAAGAATATTATTAACACCTATAGGCTTAGTGTGAGGGAATATTAGAAAACTACTAAGCTAGCTAAGAGAAGAGGTGTAACTAAATACTTAGGGGAATAGAGGTACAGCAGCAGGCAGGGCTAGGTTAGAGCTAATACAAGGACTATTTACATATAAGGTTCGCCTAGTAACTTTAAATAGAACAATTTAAGCAAATTGTTACATACATGTAGTTATCTTAGATGCTATACTTAGCTTTAATATTCTTTATAAGGCTAAACTAGTTTTAAATTACCTTAAAATTCTTATAAAAAGCTTTTTTATTATTATACTTATGCTTAAACTTTACTTTAAGCTTTAAATAACGCTATATAAACACACTAGGCTAGTTTATGCTAACATAGCCTACATTATGCTTAGCGCGTAAAGAATTAGCTATATTAGCTACAGTTACTAGCTAAAAAGAAAATCCTTACACATATAACTTAAGTATATGCCTAATAACTACCTACTTTTTATTATTATTTAGCATTTACAAGTTAGCTATAAAATTAGCTTATAAAAGGTGTCTAGTGTATTAGTTATTTATTATTTTTTAAAAGACTCTGTACATGGCTATAGCATATTACTTTAAAAGTATTACGTCTTATTTAAAAGCCTAAAGCATAAGCTGTACCTAACATTCTTTTACTATGTCTAAGTAGTGTTATTAGGAATGCATTAGTGTAGAAAGAGTAGTTTAGTAAGGTCTTAGCAAAAGTAAGCAACTTAGGTGTGTAAGCAACTCGCCTGTGGTGTACGTTAAGCAAGGGACTAATTTATTCCATTTTATCACTTGGCGCCCAGGCTCGCGTAACCCCAGCTTTGAGATGTTACTACCTAGCGTGATGACTCATGAGGACCCGCAAGCGGGCCAGATCAAAATATCTGGATAAGGACCCACAAGCGGGCCAGATCGAAGATCTAGACGGGACTCGGCATCCGGGGGCCATCTCATCTCGCCTATGAATATTGACTATACAGGCTAAATCTTCGCTAATTCAACTTGTCCATGCCTTTTAGCTGTCGCCTAGTGCATATAGCCGCGCCGCCGACTCTACAGATCTGAGCGCATTGTTAACAACATAGTTAGCGCCACCTGCAACACAGCTGATGTGTACTGCGGTTTGCTTCACGTTGCTGTAATATACTACAGTTTATTGCGGTTTGCTACAAGTTGCTACAAATTCTTGCAAATTCCTGTCGTTTGCTATAGTTTGCTACAATTTGCTTGATGTCTTTCCCTACGCTACCGGCTAATCTCTAGCTGATACCTCTAGGCGCGAGCCTATTATAGTTAAGCGGCAGTTGAAGAAACGGAACTAGCAGTTGTACTAGCAGTTATTCTAGTAAAATAGTGAAGGGATCCGTAACAGCAGCAAGAAGATCCTTATCCTAGTGGCTACCATCTGTAGGAGTAAGTAGGCGAATAGCTGCAGGCGGTGTAGAAGGCTGCGGTGGGTTATAATAGAGTCTCTACAGCGATAGAGAGGCGAAGGCATACAGACAGCAAGGACTGCAACAGACTGTATAGCTAGTCTCTAAGAACTGCAGCAGGACTATGTAGTAAGAAATAGCAAGTAAAAAATAACTAGCAATGAAAAAAGTATATACCTACTATATTTACAGTTCTTAAAACTTGTAGCAAGACTATATAGTAACAAACTACATACTATACTTAAGAGAAGACAGTATAGAGAGAAGAAGAAAAGAAGAAAAGTAGGTAGAAAAAGCATTCAAGATTCGCAGAACAAGGTTACTCTAATAGTTTTGTATAGGTACAAAGTAGCCGCATAACTAGACAAAAGGTAACAACTTTAACTAGTTATAACAATAGCTATAAGGCTAAAATTGTTGTAAAAAAAAAGTAAAAGAGAATACTAAAACATAATATAAATATAATAAATGCTAAAAGAAAAAGTGTAGTAGAGTAGTTATAAAGATAGTAATTTTTAAGTTATACATAGATTTTATATTATCTTTTTATTTATGTTTTTTATTTTCTTTAGCGTTTTTTTAATCTATATAGCTATTTAGTGTTAGAATTTACTTTCTTTCTAGTAATTACTTTTACATGCTACTTTTAAAGTTAGATTTTTCTTACTATTACTTTTATATACTATATGTTACTTAATGTTTTTACTTTACTTTTTTAAATCTAGTTCTTTATTCTTGTAATGTTATTTAGCTTTTTATTACTCTTTTTAAATTACTATTTACTTAGGTTTTTTTACTTTAGTTATTAACTAAAAGGTTTAATACTATAGCACTATAAAAAATTTAAAGTATAAGAAGTATTCTATACTACTAATAAATCTATATAGTAATTTAAATATTAAAAAAGTCTGTCACGGTATCCTCCCCAGATCCTAGACATAACTGTATTAGACGCGTACTAGAGTATTATTAGTGCACGTCTAACATAAACACAACACAACATAGACATAAACTTAAGCATAAACTGCCTTAACACTAACTAAACCTAAAATAGGCTTAATTTATACTTAAAGCGCTTAGACTTTTAAGCTAAGTATTTAATTACTAATTTCTTTCTAAACCTTCTTGTTTCTTACACAACGTCTTATACTTACTATAATACTTTACATAGTAATTAAACTAGACCTTTATAAAGCTTTATAACTTTACTTATGCATAATTATAACATTACATTATGTTAAAACTTTAGCTAAGAATAGCCTCTAAATCTAATCTAATAAGCTTAGTACTTGCATAACTCTAAGCTATTAAAGTAAGCTAAGAAGCCTTCTAAAAAGCGCTTACTTTATAAAAAAGCTACTACATTATAAGCTTTAAAGCTTTTTAAAAGAACTTTAAAAAATAGCTTTATGTTATTAAGTAGTTTATTTCTACCTTAACTTTTATTATAGTAGTAGGAACTAAGAACTTACTAGCCTTAAAGCTTACTTAGAAGTCTAAAGATAGCTTAACTCTTTTTTGCCTAATGCTGCTTATAACTTGTAACCTTTTTAACTTAGTAATAAAATCTAACTAACTTCCTAATCCCCTACTGTTTAATAAAAAATAAAAAGACTTACTTTTCTTTCTACACAAGCTCTAATATAAACTTAAAGAAAATATAGACTAATTCCTCTCTAAACACTTCTAGTTACTATATGCCTACTTTTAACTTAACTATAACATAATAGCTTTAATTAACTTACTAATAAATAAAGATATTATTAACTTAGATTAATTTATAGCATTTTTATAAGTAACTTATAAAGACTTAAATAAAAAGTTAACAGCCTTAAGTTACCTAAACACTTTATAATAAAAAAAAAAAGCTTTACTTTATACTTTACTAAGTTTTGCTAACTTATATTTAATATAGGCCTAAATAAGATAGGTTTAATTATAGCTTTATATAACTCCCTCTTAACTAAACTATAACGCGCTATAGTAGGAGAACCTCTTTTAAACAACCTTAACGCGTATGCGAACCTAATTACTACCTACAATAATAACATAAGGTTCCTCCTTGTACAAGCCCTAATACGCCTCTAAACTAGCGTAGTTATAAATAAGGACCTTAATGTAATAAAAATTAATTTAAATTATGCTTTAGTTAGTTCTAGAAAGTATAAAGATTATAAAAAAAAAAGTTAATGCTTTAAGTGTAGTAAGCATAGTTATATTTTTTAAAACTACTTTATTCTCTTTTTTTAAGTCTAGCCAAGTAGCGCTGCTAGTACTTATTAAAAATTTTTACTATTTTAATTTTGTTTTTATAAGGGCTTTAATTTATATTTAAGCTTTAATCTTTTTTACTACTCTTAACATAGCAGCAGCTATAGTAGTAGAAGCCTGTAAAAAGGCTTGTTCTAGGGCTAAGTTACCTCTTAGAACTAATTTAACATTAGATCTCTACTAACTTATAGGCTAAGTCCTCTACTAATAACTAGAAGTACTAAGTTAATATTTTTATATATTTATAATAAAAAACTATATTAGCCTTAATATAGGCTCTTATTAACTTAGAAGTAAATAGCATAAGTTACATTAATAAAAAACTAGCGTGTAAACTAAATCTTTAATTAACACTGCTTACCTAAATAATTTACTTAACTAGATTTAATAGAAAACAACTTAAAAAAGGTTCTATCTTTTATACTATAACTATTATAATTACCTACTAACACTATAAGAAGTAGATTAAGCTCTATGTAATAAACATAAAATGTTATAACCTAATTCTAAGACAACTATAGCTGTATTAGCATAAAGTTACCTTTAATTACTAAGAGTAAGTTTTAAACTTTAACTTTTTCTAATACTAAGATGTATGCTTATGCTTACACCTAAACAACACCTAAGTAGCACTTAATATAGAAGGTCTTTAGACCTACTTTTTAATAACCTAGAAAAAAACTACTTAAGTAAGGCTAATAAGCTAGGCCTTTTACTAAGATAGGCTATATAAAATAATTTAATAACTACTTAAACTTAAAGAAAAAGAAGCCTTTAAAGAATCTTTACCTACTTAATTTAGACATAAACTAGGACTTAAACAACAGATAGACATCTGCTATATAGAACCTGCTCTATTTATAACCCTAGCTTAACAACTAGATTACAAAATCTACACAGTTATAATTTCTAATATAAACTAAGCTTTAGCTCTCTAAAAACGCACTAACTTAAAGATAATAGTTTCTTAAAACTACTATAACTTATTACATATTTTTTTTTAAAATAAGTCTAATAAGCTTTTAATATAACATCTATATAATTACTAGACAACTTTTAAGCCTAGTAAACAACCTAGTTATAGGCTACTATATAAAATGTTACTAAATAAATTAAAAGTGCTTTAAAAATACTTTAATAAAAACTTAAAAAAAAAGTTTATTTAAGCTAGCTTTTTACTAGTAGTGTTATTTATACTATTTATAAAAAAACCTAGAGGTAGGCTTTAATTTTATGTTAACTACTAAGGACTAAATACTATTACTATTAAAAACTAATACTTAATTTTTTTTTATAGGAAACTCTAAGCTAACTAAGTAAAGCAAAGTATTTTATAAAGTTAGATATTATTACTGCCTTTAATAAGCTAAGAATAGTAAAGGGTAATAAGTAGCTAATAGTGTTTTAAACTTAATACAGACTATTTAAGTACCTAGTAATGCCCTTTAGCTTAGCTAACACGCCTAGTACTTTTTAACATTTTATAAACAACTTACTCTAACCCTACCTAAACATGTTCTGCACTATGTATATTAATAATATTCTAATCTATAGTAATAGCCTTTTAGAGCATAAACAGCATGTACGCTTAGTGCTAAAAGCTATAAAAAAAGTAGGTCTATAACTTAACATAGACAAATGCAAGTTCTACTAATTAAAAGTTATGTATTTAGAATATGTAATCTCTATAGATAGCATCTAAATAGACCCTATTAAGGTTTAAACTGTGCTAGATTAGCAATACTTAAAGAATATAAAGGATATTTAAGCTTTTATAAAATTTACTAACTTTTACTAATAATTTATTAATAACTTTTTATAGTAAGTAAGCCTTATAATTACACTTACTAAGAAAGAAATTTAATTTAACTTTAACTTAAATTACTAATAGTTTTTTAACTAGCTAAAAAAAGCCTTTACTAAAGCTCTAATACTCTGCTACTTTAACTCTAAACTACTAATACTTATAGAAGCTAATGCCTTAGACTATATAGTAGCAGGAGTTCTCTTCTAGACTAAGCTAGACAGGACTATTAAGCCTATTACATACTTCTTAAAAAGAATAAGTTCTATAGAAGGTAATTATAAAATCTATAATAAGAAATTACTTGCTATAGTACACTACTTTAAACAATAGCAACCTAAACTAGAAAGTGCAGCGCATCTAATACAGGTCCTATCTAACTATAAGAACTTGTAGTACTTTGTAACTATAAAATAACTTAGCTACTAATAAGCTTATTAGTTTAAATACTTATCTTATTTTAATTTTAAAATTACTTATTATTCTAGTTAAGACAAAGAGAAACTAGATGCTTTTATAAAGTAATTTTAAAAATCTCTGCTTAAAAAAAAGTGTAAAAGGCTTAACACTAAACTTTACTTTAACCTAAGCTATTTTTAGACCTTAACTTAAATAAAATAAATTAGATAATTAATTAGATTATTACTAATAAGTATCTAAATAATAAATTTATCTAAGAAACTTTAAACCTGCTTTAAAATAGCGCTAGTTAGTTAAAAAAGTAACACTAGCTAACTATAAAAACTAAAATAGTAAGCTATATTACTATAACTAACTTATAATTTTTAATTCTAATAAACTAAGAATTAAACTACTTTAAATTATACATAACTTACCTATTAGAGGACACCTAGGCAGAGGAAAGACTCTTAACCTACTACAGAGAGAGTACTACTAGCCCTGCATGTTCTATACTGTACGCTAATACATATTATGTTACTATACTTACTATAAAGTAAAAGCCTTTTAAGAAAGGTATAATAGCCTACTTAAACTACTTCTAATCTTTAAATAAGCTTAAAAAGATATATTAATTAATTTTATTATAGACCTACCTTTATCTAAAAAGTACATAAATATTATAGTAGTTATTAATTACTTAACTAAGTATTAACACTTAATACTATGTTCCTCTATAACTACCCCTAATATAGCCTAGTTATTCTACTAATATGTATAAGTTTACTATAGCCTGCCTAACATAATTATATTAGATAGAGGTACGCAGTGTGTCTTAGCCTTCTAGGACAAACTTTATAAACAGCTTTAAATTGTCCTCTATCTATCTATAGCTTTTTACCTAGAGACTAACAGCTAGACTAAAAACATAAATGCTGTAATAAAATAAGTCTTATAAGTGTATATAAACTACTAGTAAAATAACTAGGTAAAATAGTTAGCTGCAGCATAGTTTAAAGCTAATAACATAATATTTAAATTAACATAAGTATCTTTATTTTTAGTAAACTATAGATACTACTTTTAAATAAAATTTAAACTACTTTTAAATACCCCCTAACTAACTTATTAATCTATATAAGTAATAAATATAAATAGACTTATTAATAAGATCTAAAATATATCTAAATATGTTTATAAAAAGCTTACATAGGCTTAAGGTTTTTAATAAGAGTATATAAACTAATCTTAAACCTCTGCCCCTGTGTATGCAGCTAGCAAGAAGGTCTAGCTAGACACTAGAAATATCTAAATAAACTAATAATTAAAGAAACTTAATTAAAAGAACTTTAGCCCCTTTATAGTAGCCTATATAGTCTTATTACACACTTACTAATTAATCCTACCTAACAGCATAAAGATACACCCTGTGTTCTATGTATTATTGCTGCGTTAAGTAGCTCTTAAATCTAACTATCTACCTAAACAGCTAAACTTGCTACCTAAACCTATTATTATAAATAATAAACTAAAATATGTTGTAAAATACATTAAATAAATCTAGTTTAATAAGAAAAAACATATCTATAAATACCTTATAAAATAAACTAGATATAATAAACTGTTATAAGAACTTGCAGAAGCCTTATAAAAGAACTCTGCAGTAACTTAATTCTACACCTAATACCTATCTAAACTAAACCTGTACCCTAATAAAAACAACTTAATGCTAGAACTACTAATGTAAAGGATTCCCTTTCTAATAAGAGAGGGGTACTGTCACAGTATCCTCCCTAGATCCTAGACATAACTATATTAGACACATACTAAAGTATTATTAGTGCACGTCTAACATAAACATAACATAATATAGACATAAACTTAAGCATAAACTACCTTAACACTAACTAAACCTAGAATAGGCTTAATTTATACTTAAAGCGCTTAGACTTCTAAGCTAAGTATTTAATTACTAATTTTCTTCTAAACTTTCCTGTTCCTCACACAATGTCTTATACCTACTATAATACCTCACGTAGTAATTAAACTAGACCTCCGTGAAGCTCTATAACCTTACTTGTGCACAATTGTGACAAAGTCTTATTTTTATATAAACAAATTATGTTATAATTTAAGATAATATTATTTATTTAGTTAAGTAAGAAACTTTTCTTCTTATATATATTATTTATTACTATCTATAGAAGGCTTTTTATATTTCTTAAATCTAATACAATTAGTTCTAAAATACAACTAGTAACATGGTCCACAAGCGAATGTTTAACACAAGCAAGTGTTCCACCCTACTACTAAATTTAACTTTAAAGACTATTAATTTAACAACATAAAAATATACTATATAAAATAAACTACTATAAAATTATTTAATATTCTTGCATGTATAAGAGTTATACCTAGGCTTGTTACAGCACTTGCAGCGCTGTACGCGCGCTGCGCTGCTTTTAGCAGTTAACTTCTTCTAAGGCATTTTACTACCTTCTACTATACTAGTAAGCTTTTAAGTACTTAACTTAAAGCTTTAATAACTTGTTAAAGTTTTTTTTTTTAAATTTACTTTTTTTTACACTGCTTACGCTTTATAGCTGCTTTACAGGCCCTCTTTAGAGTAGCTGCTTAATTACGCTGTAGAACAGCAACATAAGCTATTTTAGTAGCGCCTTTACTTAGCTGCTTTGCTAGATTAAGCATAGCAAAAAAAAAAAATTCTAATGCTTTTAAATTTAATTATATAGTAAAGTTAACTAAGCCTTAACTTTATAAGGATTACTAGGTGTTTAAGCCTCCTAGGTAGTATTTAGTAGTAGAGTAGCTAGCTAATTAGGTAGCTGTATATTAAGCTTTAAAAGCACTAGCTCTAGGTTAAATAGAACTAGTTCTATAGCTTTAAAGCCTGCGCAGATATTATCTATTATAATTAAGCAACTAAATACTGCTTTAAAGGCTAGTAGAAAGGTTAGCTTATTAATATAATTAATCTAGTAGCAGATTAACTAGCTAATTTTAGTACTATATGTGCACTTTAATAGTAAAAAGCAGCTAACATTAAGCAGCTGTAGAATATGTAACGCGTGTGCTAGCATACAGAGCGCTATAATACGCCTCTGCTTATAAAGCTCTAGAAATTTAATAGAGTAATAGCTTTTATAGCTATTAAGAATAAGTAGCTACTATAAGCCTACTAAGCAATTTTTTATGTATAGATTAAAGTGCTCTAGCTATGTAATTTTATATTTATTAGTTATCTAGCTATTGTTACTAACACTAATAGCCTAGTCCTTTTGTATATCTTTATTCTTATACTAGGCAGATAGGTAATGCTTGCCTTTAAAAATTATGTATAAAGGTATTGCCTACTTATCTACATTAATGCCTATAATAACTGTTACCTATTTATAGTTACCTAGCTGTATAGCCTTTAGCTAATTACGTCTATCTGTGCTTATAATAACTATTTAGCTTAATATAACCTCTATCTAAAAGCTTGTTTTATTAAAATTATATATATTTTAATTTATAATACTATACTTTAATTATATAGCTTTTATAAGCTTAAACTACTTACTTATAATTACTAGATCTTTACATTTTACTTATTAGTAATTATATAGTTAGCTAAGGTAAGTTTTAACTACTAGTGTACACGTAACAAAGTTAGATAGCTAGTTAATACCTACTAGTAGAGCGCTGCGCTTAGTAAGAAGCTTGTTAGCTATCTTTTATATAGCACCTAGAGTAGGCGCAAATTCTTAGAAATCTAGATTAAGTATATGCTTAATAATTACCTTCTTTTCTAGCTTTGTAAGCTTTTTGTTGTTAGCTATATAGTTGCGTTGCATAGTTATCCCTGCGCGTTGTTAGCAGAGAGCTATTTAATTAACATTATAAAGTGCTGCAGCGTGCCTTTTAGTTAAAGACACATCTTTATTAAGAGCTTAAATAGCTAGGTTAATTCTAGCCTCTTTTAAAAATAATTACTTATATAGTTGTTAATGCATCGCAGTTAGTAGTAGGTTAGCTGCGTTTTGGTGGTGGGGCGGAACACTCGCTTGTGTTGAACATTCGCTTGTGGACTATGTTATAAGAAAATAACTTATTATTAATTTTACTAGTAAATTACGTAAATAGAGTTTTTATTTACCTACTTATATTCTAGCTATTTATAATGTAAGATTAACTACAAACTATTTACTATAAAGGTAGTAGTTCTTTTATATAAAGCTTATTAATATAGATAATTTTTTTTCTTACATATTGTTTAAAAATAGTTAGTTTTTAATTGTTCTATACATTAAAGCTTTAAACCCCTTTGTAGCTCTATACTAGTGTAGATTCACAGCTACTATACTTTTTTACAGCTTTTCTATAATTAGGATTTTCTCTGAGCTTTAGCAATTTAAACAACGCAATTGCAGCGTTAATTAAATGTCTATTAGTTGAGATATTAACATTTCAAAAGTTGACGGAATTTCATGCAAGTGGGCGATAAGCGAGGCTCGGCGCCAAGTGATAAAATACGGCACCTTGCCGATAATAACACTACCCCGCTCTTGTAACCAAGGCAAACAGGGAATACAATCTCATCCCTTAAAACTAGTGCTACTCACAATTTATTTCATCACGCATCCCCAAGCTCATCCCCGCCGCACTTTAACATCTGAGTTCCTACCTAACTCGACCATCCAATATGGCATCACTTATCGACAGCTTGACTGCCTCTGGAGGCTCCGAACCAGCAGGTTAGATATCTCACTCCCAGGATTATCCTTCAGTAACTCATTATCAACAGGCTTTCTCAATGACATCATTAAGCAATTGTGGCCGAACATAAGTGTGGCTGGTGCCAATATCGTAAAGGATGTTGTAGAACCCATCCTTGCCTCAACACTTCCGGGTCCCCTCTCTAGCCTGCATTTCGTCAAGCTCGACTTTGGGCATGTCCCTATCCAATTCTCCAATGTAGACGTCCACAAGACGGCTACTCAGGGTATAAAACTTGATCTGGATCTACACTGGGAGGGCGAGTGCGACATCGAGCTGGATGGGAACCATGTCCCTAAAATTGTGAATTTCCCCATCACTAGACACCTCACTTGAGCAGCGGCTAACCAGGGTACCCTGCTTCAAGGGCATCGAGAAAGTTCACCTGAAGGGCAGACTCAGCATATTGCTGTGCCCGCTGACGAATATCGTTCCCCTGGTACGGGCCGCTCCTTTCTTAGCGTCACTTGGTTAAACTTCATACACTAACATAACACAAAGATCGGCGCCGCGCAAGTTGCCTTCATCAACCCACCCAGCCTCAAGCTTGACTTCACTGATGCTGCGAACATCGCCGACTGCTTCCTGATCGAGAAAACCGTCCGGAACACCATCCTAAGCATCATTTCGAGCATGGCTGTTCTTCCCAACCGCTTCCTTGTCAAACTCGACGCCAATAATGACTACTTCAAAACATACCAGCCTCACCTTGGCATTCTCCGTCTGACAGTCGAGAAGGCAACTGGCATAACGGCTCCAAAGAAGAGCGGCGCTTCGAGGCTACTGGCTAAGATTGTCAAGGATGTCCCTGACTGTTATGTCAAGGTCAACATCGGTGCTGAGGGGGAGTGGCGCACCTCGGTCCAGAAGAACAACCACGAGCCGGCATGGAACGAAACGCATGATTTCCTAGTGACGGATTACGAGCAGAGTATTTCAGTTGACATCCAGGACGACGATCTGGCTGGCGATGACGACATTGGACTCGGGTATACTACCATCAAGGAGGTCCTACTAAACGGCGGCTCACACGAACTGAACCTTACCCACAAAGGCGAACACACTAACGCTAAACTAGTGATACATGCAAAGTTCTACAATCTCGTCGCTGATGCTTCCCTCTTATCCGCGCAGGATAGCGAACGCAAGGGCCAGATCTGCGGGCTTGTCACGATTCTAATTGCCAGTGTCCTCGGCCTCTCAGGACAGCGCGACGGGCTAAACCCCAGCGTCAAGGTGGCATGGGGTGGTAAAGAGTTCCAGACCGTAGCCAAAACTTACATCCCAGGAGTGGACATCTTCAACCCATCTTTCGACCAGGCTTTTAAAATCCCTTTGAATACAGATATGATTGCCAGGCCGACGAGCTTCAAGATCTCGCTGATGAACAAGCAAGACGAGTCCGGAAGTGTTGAGGTGGCCTTCCAGGATGTATTTGACGCTCCTGGTATGGTCAAGGAAGGCATCTTCGACGTTGGTTCCGGTGCCTCAGTGAGAGCTAGCATCTCTGTGCGCGGAATTCAACTGGCTGAATGATTTACGCTGGGTACGAGAGAATAGCGAGAATAGCGAGACATACTGCGCTCTGTCTCAAAAGCGGACTCGGAGCGCATGTCTGAGTCAGGATTCTGCATGTAAATCATATTAAGAGTAACCTTTTTCCTGATTCATAAGTAATCACAGAAACAAACTGCCCTGTCTAAATAACACATGTCAAATACTCAGGAAAAGATAGGATTTAGGCTGTGGTAGAACGCTGAGAGGTGCACAGCTCTTTCTATCTCATGGTTAGAGCTGATGGACGAAAGAGGGCATGGAGAGGTGCGAGTCGTTGATCAGGTGGCGAGAACCAAACTTGGTGGATTGAGCAAAGGTGTAAGGTCTAAGGAGCTTAAGGGGGGTCTAAGCTAACTATAACGTACACTACAGGCAAGTTACTTACACACCTAAGTTACTTGCTTTTACTAAAACTATACTAAACTACTTTTTCTACATTAATATATTCTTAATAACACTACTTAAATGTGTAAAAAGAATATTAGATATAGCTTATACTTTAAGCTTTTATATAACATATTATATATTTAAAGTAAAATACTATAGCTATATATAAAGTATTTTAAAAAATAATAAATAACTAATATACTAAATAGCTTTAAACGTACTTTATAGGCAAGTTGCTTACACATCTAAGTTACTTACTTTTGCTAAGACTCTACTACACTACTTTTTTTATACTAATGCATTCTTAATAACACTACTTAGATGTGTTAAAAGAACATTAAATGCAGCTTTGTCAGATTGAAGCACTGTTTCTAGGCTTCCTGAGATGGATGATGGGTTTGGATATGATGTATGGGATGATTGATTGATTGTATTGATTGTGTTGATTTATCGATCCTTTTTCTGCTCTACTACGGCGGACGATAAGCGGGTGAGGGGACAAAACTCAAACGAAATTTTTTCCCTGCACAACCACCCCTCTATACAGTACTAAAACACCTTGTAGAACATCTGTGTAGCCTTAATAACTTGTTAAATAATTATTTCCTGTTGTACAATATTATATCAGCATGCCTAGTTAGTATATAAACCACTTTTTAGATGTTATTACTTATGTACAAGGGCAGGCAGTTGCCCTTCTATTAATTTAACTCTATATTAATTAGAGCTTTGTAGGCTCTTTTAAGAAGGCCTTATAATAAATTAGATTGCTATGTATCTTTATAATACATATTAGATTAATGTTACTACTTGTATAATTAAGTAGCAGTTTAAAGATTAGAATCTCTAGCGCTAGCCTCCTACCTATGTTAAAGATGCTGCTAAAAAGCGTATTTAAGTCCTATTCTTTAAGGTTAGACTTAATAATAAGAAGATACTTACTGTATTATAGGCAAAGAGCTTTAATATTAGGAAATATGCCCTTATATAACTTTACTTTAAGCTTAGTCTTTAGCGCTGTATAAATAAAGTAGAAGAATAGTAAAGAGCTAATTAGCTTATATAAAGACTTGTTACTAAAGAACTTAAGAAAGGCGTTATTAATAAATACAGGTAAGGATACCTACACACCTACTTTTAGCAGTAGGGCTATATTGTTGCTAGAGATTAACTTTTCTAAGCTTATTATATAATTAACTTTAAAGCAGTTAAATAATGTAAACATAATCTTTAACACTACTAAGAAGAATATATTGTTTTTAGTCTAAACTTTGTCTAGTTAATTAATAGATACTGTAAACTCTACCTGTATAGAATTAAAATATATGCCTGTCTTAACGCATATTCTAGATATATTGTCTAGATATATGTAAAAATATTAGCTTTAACTGCTGTTAGCTGTGCTTATTAATTTTTCTACGCCTTAAAGGAAGTTTAGCTACAGCTACGCTTTATACAATTAAATAGGGGAGTTAAGATAGTAATGCTAGCAGACGCTTATTATAAGCTGTAGATGTTATACAAACTAGACCTTAAGTTTTAGGACTGCTATCTATATAGCATAAGTACATTAAACTAGCGTATTAAAGCATAGTAGGGTTAGCTTTTAAAAGGGATTATTTTTTACTAGTAAGTAAGTCTCTTATACGCAGCACTTTATGTTACTTAACTTAATATAGAATTACTTTACAAGCCTTTGTACGCAGGGGCAGTTCTTAAAGGACAATTTAGTAGACTAGATAAGTCTGTATGTAGTGTATATTCTAATTCTATAAGAAGAGCTCTATAACTTTGTATAACTCTAAAATTCCTACTCTATTTAGAAGCAGCTAAATTAGTAAAACGCTGTTGTTAGAAAGCTATTTATGCTTTATTACTATCTAGAAAGCTATATCTAGAACTAGGGTGTATCCTTTAATAGTAACTAGCTTTGTATAATAAAAGAAAGTATTAGTAAATAGAAGATTAATAGATATCTTTTTTCTAACACCTTTAACTAGTGTCTAGGTGTGCTTAAGTCTATTAGATTTAATAGTGCAACTGCAGCGCAGTTTTTTTCTGTTAAGCGTATAACACCTTATCTAGAAGTTTACCTCCACCTATAGAGACAGACGCAATTTTATATAGAGAATTAGTTTTAGCTGCAGCTCTTTCTTTTTTTAGCTTTAGTAAGTGTAAGAAGTTAGTAAGTAAGTACTTTATATAATAAGTATTTAAAAAACTAAGCAAATATAGCCTAACTTTAAAGTAGTTTAATAAGCAGACCTTAAAACTAATATACAAGACTTAGAGATATTAATAGATCTAGATATAGTATAGTTCTTTTACTTATATGCAATAACTAAGCTATTTACACTACATTATGCTATATAAATATTATTATCTCTTGTAGTATAAGTTTTGTCCCTCCTTTAGTCTTTTCTTTTGTTGTACAACATAAGTACACTACCCCTAAAATACTGCTTAGAAATAGGAGAGCTTTATTCTTAGCATCTTTTTTTATTTACTTTCTGTCTAGCTTATTATGCTTCTCTTTAGCTATTGCCTAGTACATAAAAAGTAAGGAATAAAGATGTTATTATTCTAGACAACACCTTAAATACTAAAAAGGCTGTTTTTATTCTATCTGCTAAAGCTACAGGTTGTACAATTATAGAAAGTGCATAATAATAATTAATCTAAAAGACTACCTAAGCTACAGCTTGCTAGTCTTCTAGCTTCCTAGTTCTTCTACATGTCTGTCTTGTATAATATAAGATTGTTAATAAAGGTACCTAGATAAGAAACAGGTTTATAGACTATAATATTTTTTATATATGTTATACTCTTTCTGTCTTTTCTAAACTAATAAAGAAATAGAAAAGATTTAACTCTAAATTTTAAACACTATAATTAAGAGGCCTAGTAACCTACTTAAAACACACCTTCTCCTAGAGATTGTATAATATAATGTAAACAACATCTCTAATAATCCTCTATACATTGCTGTAGACATTAGGAAAGATAGCGTTATAAATCTTCTAAAGAGTGCTAGTAGGCTCTATATAATAAAAGAGCTTTTAGAGGGTAAATTCTTTAAAAAAATTAACTCTAGAATAACTATAATATACCTTGTGCTTAAGCAGCACCTAGATAAGTAGTTATTATATAGTAAAAATCTAGAATTATCTTTTATTAAGATAAAATTATGCTTAAAGAAAGCTGCTAAAAAAAAAAGAAAAAGTATAAAAAAGAACTTTTTATAAATTAAATAGAAGTTAAAAACGCTAAAGCTACAACACTATGTAAAGAAAAAGCCCTTATATAAAAAGAAGTGTGTAATATCTTAGGTATTAAATATTTAGAAAGCTTGCTCTCCTAAACTTCTAGATCTTAACATTATAGATAAAAAAGATTTAGTACTATACAGACTTTGCTTAAAGTGTTAGAAGACAGACATTATATAAGATTAGATTGCCTTTTTAGCCCTCTTTAGCTTACATGTAGTCCTTTATAATTTCTTATTATTATGTTACTGCTAGTTATTTTCTGTAGTCTTCTATAGTGTTAAATAGGATATTATTGTATAATAGGCATCTCTTTTAAATGTGTAAATATTAAATGTTTGCTGTTACTGCTTGTAGCATCCTATAGTGCAGTAAGGCTCTATCTAACTGTTTACACCTACTACATAAGCGCTTTTTGTTATTTTACAGTAAGCTAAGCAATTAGGCAGGGCAGTTAGGGGCGTAGGGTAGGCATTATAGAGAAAGTACTGCTTGTACAGGTGTATATAGACTGCTTTTACTTAACTTTTTTTTCTCTATTCTTTTTTAACTTTACGCATAATAACCTAAGGCAACATCTCTTTCTGTAAGATTCTTTTACTATATAATTAGTATTAAGCCTTACTTTTTACTAGATGTAGCTAAATATGTTCTTTAATAACACCTCCTTTAATAACTAAACTGTTAGCCCTTCTTTAGCTTCTGCAACAAGCTATGTTTAAGCTTGTGCAGCTATCTTTGCCTAAGCAGATGCCTGCCTTTAAATAAACGCCTTTGTAAATGTTTAGATTCTTGTTCCTGCTCTTAGTAGTGCTAATCCTCCTCCTGTAACCTTTCTATGCTAGGGTATATAGTATAAGAAGGTTAACATTTTTAATCTAGTTGTTGCCTAGTACCTCTTATAGGTCTTTTGCTTTACTATATAAACTCTTTCTTTTATAATAATTTAAAGTATATGCTTACTTTCTTTTAAAGTGTAAAGATTACTTAGGCTGCTAATTTTTCTATCTGCATATTTAGCATTTCTCTGTACAACGCCCCTAATACTCCTCTTGTCACCTGCTGTAGCACCATCCTAGCCAATTAAATCCTCTTCTAGCGCTAGAGCTACCTTAAAGCTATTATTATCTATACTTATAGCAGCTATAACTAGGTTCCTTGCCAGCGTTGCTAGGCTGTGTACAATTATACAGGCAACTTTCTCTACTATGTAGGATGTATTTCTCTCTATACCTAGTGGCAAGGTGCTTGCTTAAACTGCGTTTATAACAATTATAGCAATACTTACAGTTTAAAGGGCGACAACAGCAAGCTTTTGTACAATAACTATTAGAAGAAGTTAGACAAGGATAAAAGGGATAAGGATAAAGATAAATAAAAGGGCAAGTATCTAAAAGACAAGAGGTTAGGCTGTTTAACCTAGTCTAGCAACA